GCGCAACAGAAGCGCCGGGCAGAAGGCTGTCTTGGGCAATGGGAACACAGACCAGAACGCACGACAGTTGCTGATTTCCGACTCCCATGATCAACGAACTGAGACGCGATTCCGTGATGTGGCTCCCACGGTGGACGGCAGTGAGGAGTGAGCGATGCCGGCTGACTCGCTGCTCCGCCGGCCACGCCCTGGGCTCGTCGCATGCGCCAGCTGTCAGGGGCTCGGCTCGGCCCGGCCCTGCCTCGGACCGGCCCCGCCCAGCCCGGCCCGGCTCGGCTCGGCTCGGCTCGGCTCGGCTCGGCTCGGCTCGGCTCGGCTCGGCTCGGCTCGGCTCGGCTCGGCTCGGCTCAGCTCGGCTCGGCTCGGCTCGGCTCGGCTCGGCTCGGCTCGGCTCGGCTCGGCTCGGCTCGGCTCGGCTCGGCTCGGCTCGGCTCGGCTCGGCTCGGCTCGGCTCGGCTCGGCTCGGCTCGGCTCGGCTCGGCTCGGCTCGGCTCAGGTCGGCTCCCAGCTGCGCCCGTGAACCGGCCAAGGACAGAACGGACAATGACTAGCCCCAGAAGCACGCAGAAATCTGCCTGGCTCCTGGAGAGACATCCAGGGCCGGTCCCAGTCAAACGCGAGCTAGTTAGCGACGCGACATTTCGAACAGAGCGTTTAGTGTGATACTCGGCTTGTTCATTATTGCCATTTTATTACTTTGTAATGCTCCCGCTGTTACATTTTTTCAGATGTAACAGCAGGTGCAGCAGAAGTCGTAGGCCATTCACTTGCACTGGAACTAGCAGATAATTGGTTGGCATATGTTTGCGTGTATGAAATCGCTTTTTATGTGGGGCGGACCGGACTCGGAGTCCCGGGGGCCGTAACGCACGACCCTTTCACTCGATCGGCCGTCGCGTTTGGGAACGCTCGTGTCCGGATATTGCCTGGGCGGTCGTGCCGACTGCAGCTCCCACGGCGCTCAATAGGCGAGGCAGCCGAATACCGCCCTCGTCTCTGGCCGGCACGGCGCGCGCGGCGGCGCTCACGGTCGGGCCGAAGGCAAATCGGCGCACTAGTGAAGGACCGATCCCTGCACGGGCCGCTGCCCGCTGAGGGCCGGTGGGGGCCGGCGGCTGGCTGGCTGCGGCCGTGTCAGCGCTGCAGGTCGAACCTTTTCTTCGGAGTGTGCCAGCGGTCTGGGCTGTGGAGGTTGATGTGATGTGCCGGTGCTGATGCCGGTGCCCTCCGTGCCTCTGGCTGTGTCGGTACTGGCGCCCTCTATGCCCTGGTCGTGCCGGTACCGGCGCTTTCCGTGCCCCTGGGTGTGCCGGCTCCGGAGGGCACCGGTGCGCGTGCCTGCAGTCCCGCTGGCGCCGGCGCCCTCCGTGCCGGTGCCCGCGCTCGGGCGGCGGACGTGGCGCGGCCGGCGCCGCCTCAGCACCGAGCTGCGGTCGGCCTGCTGAGGGGGCGCTGGCTCAGCCGCCGGCCGGAACCGGGCGCGCTCCCTGACCCACCGGCGGTCGCCCTGACATTGGCACCACATCACGGAGTGGGCCGCTGAGCTGGCCCGGCGAGCTCGGCTTCGAGGCGGCTTCGGCTCGGCTCAGCGCTCGCCGATAACGGCCCGGCCGAGCGCCCCGTGTCGAGAGACGTCTCAGGCCTGCGGTGATGGCCTCTCGGCTTCAGGCCACCTGGATCCGCGTGTCATGTCGCGCCAGTGTCATCTGGTGTCACAACGGTGTCAAATAGGCGCTGATGGTCATCCTGAATTAGTGAGGAACATTGTACTGAGTTGTGCGGCCAGACATTGCGCTCGGTCGTGCAGACTGTGTCTTTCCGCCAGCGTCAGGATGGTCTGATTCGTTCTTTATCCTCGGCTGCGTTGACTGGTGACACTTATCACTATGTCTTTGCCCACTGTAGAGCCAGTCACCAAGCGTTCACATCTTGCCTCTGAATATCTTTGTTTAGGTCCGTGGCGAGAGTGTTCGGCGCCGTCTGCCTGCTCAGCCGTGAGCCGATGCGCCCGGTGGTTATCGGCTGCTTGACCCAGTAACGGCGGCCCCGCACTGCGGCTCGCTCGCTATCTCACGCTCGGTCCGTCGGCGGCTTCTCTGTGGCCGGTCATGTCCGTCGCTGCGGCTGTAGGCATGGCGCTTGGGTGGCAGTCGGACTGGCAGTGCAGCTGCCAAATCAAACCTCTCGCTCCGAGTCTGGCCGTCACATTCAGTCAGGCGTGACGGGTGAGTCGCGTCCGAGCTCGCGGCGTGACGCGGTGAGTCGCGTCCGAGCCCGCGGCGTGACGCGGTGAGTCGCATCCGGGCCCGCGGCGTGACGCGGTGAGTCGCGTCCGAGCCCGCGGCGTGACGCGGTGAGTTGCGTCCGAGCTCGCGGCGTGACGCGGTGAGTCGCGTACGAGCCCGCGGCGTGACGCTGTGAGTCGCGCGCTTCGGCGAACCACGAAGCTCCGCCGCGCCCTGCCCATCGCGGCGTCACTGAAGTGAAGCGTCGGTCTGTGACATGACGCTGTGAGTCAGATAAGTGACGCCGCGCGCCGGACCGGAGCTACTTGTGCCCGGGGCGCCCGGCCGCCCGCCTTCGGCCGGCAGCGGTGTGGAGCGGTGACTCAGGGAGCGCGCGGCCCTGCGGCCTATACTGTCTGACGCTGCAGGTGTGTACAGTCCAGCGAACAGTACTGGAGCGGCGTCGCTGGGCGGTGCTGCCGACGTTGTGCTCTGCCAGTCTGTTATTGTGTGACGTCACGCTGTGTTCTGTGGTGACGTCAGTCTCCTCGCTGGTCGTCAGTCTCTTCGCTGGTTCTCTCCGCTGGTGAGGTCGTTTTTGTGCTCCCGCGCCAATACGCTTAGTTGCCTGATGGTGTCACGCTCTGTTTTGAGCTGGCATCAGTTTCTGTCGTCCTGTTTCGCCATGTTTCGTCGTTCTGTCACGCGCCTTCGGGCAGGTTTTTTATTATCTGCTGGACTCAAGTTCCGATCTCCGGTGACCGGCGACGTCACGCACTGTCCTTATGTTCCGTCACGCTCTCAGACCGGGCCAGCATGGCTGATGCCGTCGTGTTCGGTTTCCTTTGGTGAACGCTTGCGCTGCGAGGAGGGCCGGCCACTAAAAATACGAGCTCAGACTTCGCCGGACGACTGCCTTGCAAAGCGTGCTGACTGGACCGAGATCGGAGGATTAATGGTAGACCAGCGCGCTGTCGGCGCAGCGTCCCGCCGCTGGCGGAAGTGGGCTGGAAGTAACGCTGGTCTGGTCCGTGAGCCGTTGCTACAGCACCAGCTGCAGCAGGCAGCCGTGGGGCGACAGGTGTTGCGCTGGCACGGCCTCGGCATCGGTCTGCCGCGGCCGCCCTTGTACGGGCGACGGAAAGGCGTCGCGTGGAGGTCCGCTGCCTGTGACATGCTTCGCAAAGCAGGCCGCCGGGTGCACCGCGCTGCGGCGGCGTGGGGTGCACGCCTGGCTGAGTGGGGTACATGAGAACGCCGGATGCTGCATGCAAATACGGTGTGCTGTACCCTGCAGCTGTGCAGTGAAGCATGATGGGGGCGACACATATAAATCTCGAGACCTCACGGTTCATGGGCTCGCCCGTAGCCTTCACTGCCGATCTGTTTAGTGGCAGGTCGGGAGGCAGTCGGCGTGTCCAAATCGTGGCTCAGGCACGGCGGCGACACTCGGCCACTGTGGGCGCCGTCCCAGTGCGACAAATCGGCTGTCAGGTACCTGGCGGGTGGGGACCAGCCACGCGTCCAGGCCGGGTGTCGAGCGCGGTCCAGCGTCCGAGCCCACTAGCGCCAGTCGCTGGTCCATTCCGGACCTGAGAGTGGAGCGGGTCACTGCCCCATAGCGCCCGATGTCAGAGGACCCAACGCTGCCCCGTGGTATCGCGTGCCGCGCCCGTCGGCCCCGACCCCGCCGTCTCACGGCCGTGCGTGCCGCCGGACTGCCGCGACCTCGGCTTCGGCCGCGGCTGACGGTCCTGACCTTGCTGTCCCCGTGCATTGGCACGCTGCGGCGACCACGTGTGCCCGTGGATCCGGTAACACTGATCCTCCGCGTCCGCCTACCCGATGGAACAAACCTCGCTGTGCCGTGGATCCGGTGTAACAAATGATGTGCTGCCGTGTATTTTGATAACCGGCCGGTCGCTAGCGCTCGCTGACTCACTGGGGCTGAGGAAACGTGCCAGCCAGCGCCCTCTACGCCGGTCCCGTCCCGCGCATCCCGTCGAGAGCGCCCCCTACACGAGCACCCGCCCAGGTACGCCCCCTACGCGGATGCTTGCGCTGTGTGTCGGCGCGAGCGCGTGCCAGAAGGCGGCGCGTCGTCGGCGTGAGTTGGCTGATGGCCAGGGCCTGTTCGGAGTGCGGCAGATGGCAGGCACGTGACCTTACCTCCGGCTAATGGCAAGGCCGGCCGCTGGGGGCGGGGAGAGCTAGAACTGGCCCGTGGGATCAGCGGTCTCCAAGCACGCGTCCGAGTCGATATTTGTATTGGGGTTTTCCTTCGTTCGTGCTTCGTTGGACACTTGCTCGCCCTGTTTGAATGTGTGGGATGAACCGCTGCGGGTTTTCCCAGCCAGCTGGCAGGTGGCGCCTGTTGGTCGCAGTCGCCACGAGGACAAATTAGAGAACAGGCTGCCAGAGCCGGACCTCGGGCCTGGGTGAAGGGTTGGTCGTTTTCGCCGCTCTAGCAAAGGAAGAGGTATATGAAAAAGCAGCTCCTAGACATGTATCATGCTGTGTGCCGCAAACGGGATGTTCGAAAATTGTTGGCTCAAACGGCCTCGTGAATCCCTTCGATTACGAGGAACGGTATAGCGGGCACGCCACACCAGCCCGTGGTACGCTGCACCAGCCCGTGGTACGCTACACTAGCCTGTGGTACGCTACATCAGCAAGCCAGTGCGCCCCAGTTATGCCTCTCCCACCCGAGTTGCGCGTGTCTTCCTGGCGACTGTCATGACCGTTGACTGACAACGTACCTCTGCCGCGTTGCAGACGGAGGGCGCGTGGTAGCGGAGTGGCGATGGGCCTGCCGGGCTGACGGCCGCGCCCCGCCCGCCTCACCCTGGCGACCATTTCGGTGTCGTCGCTCATTATGGAGATGCGGCGCGGCAGCTCGCCGCTCTCGTCCGGGCCGCTGTTCAAGCTGGCCGCCTCGCCGACCGGCTACCTGGCGGCGCCGGGCCTACTGACGACGGTGGCCGGCCGCGCCGCGCTCATCAAGCAGGAGCCGATGGTGGGCTCGCCGGAGCCGGGCCTGCCGCGTCGGCCCGGCCCCGAGGAGTGGCTGCCGTCGCCGAACCAGACCAGTCTCGACTCGACCTCGCCGTTCGGCGCGCCGCCCGGCGGCCAGACCGGGGCCGGCTTCTCCGTGTCGCCCATGTCGTCCAGCAGCTACGACCCCTACTCGCCCACGGGCAAGCAAGGTCAGTGCCAGAGGCCGGGGCCTTGGACGGCGGGGAGGGAGGCGGGAAGTGGCGAGCCCGCCCGCGCGCCACGGCGCCAGATGGCGAGCGGTTTTTTGCCGCGCGGGGAGCCTTTAAACCGGGCGGCGGGCGGTCGCGAAGGCGGCACGGACAGGTGAATTACCGTGTGACGTAGCGCAGAGGCCGGGTGATTTGTTCCATCGGCCGGCAGCGGCCGTGCCGCCCCAGCTGCGCGCTCGTCTCGGGGCCGGCGAGGCGTCTGACTGGCCGCCACTTGGGGCGACGTTTCAGAGGTGCCGCGAGCGCGGCACGCGCAACGCGTCGGCGCGTTTTTCCCGGCACGTTTAGGGCGTGCACACGTGAAACGGAACAGATATTAATGATGTTCTCATCGCGGCACATGTTTCGCCCGGTCCCGCTCCGTGCCCCGTGTCGCTTTTTGCGGGAGGCCGTTTCCTTTTTGTTTCCCCTTTTAGGTTTTGCTATTTTGCACGTGCAAAAACTAATGGGAGCAGTTAGTGACACAATGTATCAACGGGTGTTACACATTTCCCGAGATTTTCGTTGGGGCGACGATTGTCACTGGCAAAAACGGGTCGCGTCTCGACACTTCGGTTTTTGGACGGCGGGGAGCGGGCGTTTTTGCAGTCTCGGGTGCGAGGTGCCGTTCGTCTAATGCGAACACCATTTCTGCATAGACGTGACTCGGGTGGCTCCTCTTCCCTTCAGCGTGCCAGCCGCTTTTTCGCACGACCTCGTGGAACAGGATGGGCTGCGAATGAGGGATTACATTGAGCGAGGTCTTGAGAGCAGCGTGTAGCCTTGCCCGCGGCTTTGCTGCTCCAAATGTCGAGCGGTTGGGACGAATGCTGAATCGCAGGATTCATGCTCCATTGGAGTGTCTCAGTGAGCTTCTGAATAGAGTGCACTGTTGCATGTGTATGCAAAACCGTTCTAAATATGCTTCTTTCTGAAACTCCTGCATGTTTTGTTCCTTTACAAGCTAATTGAAGTGATGGGGAAGTAATGATGTCTGTGAAATGGCTCTGCTGATACCGCTGTATGGAGCGACGGCTGATCCAAACTGGTGGGACCTGGAAGTAAAATAATAATTTCATTGAACAGGGAGGTGGATAGTCACGATGCTACGGGTTCGTTTATAACTACTGGAATGTGTATATTGATTTTAAGTTACCGATGCGATGGCTGAACGATGATTGTATGGCGCTTGTACTATGAACCACAAAATAATAATTATATTAATCGTCTTGAGGTCCTATGCTACATTTCCATCGACTGATAACACTTCAAGCGCACCTTATAGTGTGAAGCTGCTCTCAGCCCTTGGGCGAGAAGGAACAGGCCTGGCATATTTTCGTAATATGGCTTTTTGTGCTCTGACCTTTTCCGACCGCGTGCGCGCTGGAACCCATGTATCATGGCAAGTTTTTACCGGCCCTCTCCCGCGGACTGGGCCGTATTTTTCCGGAGATGGCGACCCTTTAGCGGTGAGAAATTGCCGGTGTCGGCCGCCCTGTTGCGTGCCCGGCGAGGATACAGATGGGCCGCCTCGCCCCCCCCCCCCCCCCCGTCGACGGTGTCGGTGACGTCACGACTGAGACAGGGGGAAGGGGAGGAGGTAGGCAGGGGGACAGGGCGGGGCTCGGTGCACGCTGCTGGCGATCTGCGGCGATCCGTCGCACCGGCCGCTTTTGGGCCCATTCGGATTATTAACTGCGACGGTCATTGCTGAAAGCGCACGCGCGTCGCGGTCTTTCGCTCCGATGTCAAAAAAACCCGAGCGCGGTTGGTGTGAGCCGCGAACCCGCAACCTTTGGGTCGTGAGTGCGGCCGCGCCGATGAGCCAGCGTGCCGGCGGCCTCGGGACTGCATCGGCGGTGGGACCTCGAACCCCGAAGCGAAACTACGAGGCTGTGAATTAAACTGTGAGCCGTCGGCTTTCACCGTATAGCGGTGGGGAGGGGTAAAAACGTCCGTGCGGGGGTCGACCCGTTCCCCGGCCGCTGATATGATATCGGGTCCGGGCGCCGCGCGCCCGACCGTTTTTACCGCCGGCAAAAAGTGACTTTGGAGAGGACAGCAGGGGAGGCAGGGATTCCGGTTGTGGGGAAATCATTGAGTGCCCGCCTCTCGCCGGCTGGACGTGAAATAATGACGGGAAAAACGCGCGCCGCAGCCGGGCCGTGAGCGCGCCAGTCCCGCGCGGCGCGCCGCCGACGGACGCGACTAGCGCGCCGCTGTTTTGTCCCCGCGACCCCCCTCCCCCCGTCATTGTGTCTGGCGGACGTGCTGGCCCCTGCGGCAGGCGGTGCCGTCGGGCTGCGCTCCTGTCTGGTCCCGATTCGCGGCCATTCGGCGCGGCGCGGCTTTTGACATTCAGATCGGCGGTGTCTAGACAAACGTGTCCAGACGAACAAAGCAGCGGATATGGGGGCACGAGCTTTTTGTTCGGAATGGTGTAATCGTCGTGAGATGCGGGCTCGGTGATATTACGGTTTTAACGGTGCGTTCAGATTCGCCGAGTTTCCTTTACACGGGTCGGGCACACAAGGGCGGGCACAGTCTGAGCTCGGTAAGTTCGCATCACGACCATTTTTAAAGCTTCTGTTGGGAGCCATCCAGGGTGAAAAGCAAACGAAAATCTGAACCTGAGGGGGTGTTGGGGGTGGGGCCCCGCCCCTTGGGTGCGTTCTTAACACTGGTTGCATGCATCGCGTGCCGTGTATGTTTTTAGTTTTATTTTATGCAGCACAGCAGCTACCCTCTATGGCTGATGGAACTTTCTGCAATGCAGGTTCTCTGTTATACATGAACCGCCGCAATCGAATCTCGCATGTAACAACCATCTGCAGTCCATTCTCATTTGCATAGTGGCCCGACTGGCGCCCCTGCCAGCCGGCAGTGCCTGCATCTGTATGCCCCGTAACTCACTCTCCCCTGCGTATCCCAGCCGGCATTCGGTTACCCCTCCCTGCGCGTGCGTGTGTGTGGGGTGAGGCGTCCCTGCCGCCCGTGGCCGGGTTTACGGCCGCCGTGCATGCCGGCCGCCCTTGTCCTCTGTCCTGACCTCTGCCGCGGCCGCCTCGCCTCGGGCGCCGGTCGTTGAACCGGCGGCGTACCCCACTAACTGAAATACGGCGGCGGCGGCGGCGGCAGCGGCCTTTTGTTTTGGTCCGGCTCCGTATGGTAAACGGCGGCGTAGCGGCGCGCCCTCCCCTCCCGCCGGCGCCGCGTGACGCCGGGGGCACTGCGCGTTCGACGGCGGCGCGCCGGGCCCGCCGACCGAATGGCGCCGCCGGCCGTCAGGTCAGGTCAGGTCAGGTCGGTCCGACATCGAGGACTCCCATCTCAACGGCAGAGAGCCTGTACAAGGCCCGTGTGTATCGGTCATTTTGAGGATGAAATCATGCCCAGACGCTGAGGGAGGCTCGACGCTTTGCACCGTCTGGCTGTCTGACGTTGGAGCGCTCCCTCCCTCCTGTCGAGGGCTTAGGGCGCGTGCGGCGGCTCCGCCGGTGTCGGGGCTGTCGGACGCCGGCGGGACTCCCCTCCTGCCGTCGGTGCCGGCTCCCGCGGCGCCGCTGTGCGACCAATCGACTTCCCTCTCGGCGGCGGCGGCGGTGGCGGCGGCAGGCACAACACGAGCACGGACCGTCGAGCCGGGGCCCCGCGGCGCGCCGGCTGCTCGTGAGGCCGCGTGCAGGCTGCACCACGCAGCGTTCGATCTCAGAGTTCCGCCAACAGTCGACGGCTGACTCGTGACTTGTTCGTGATTGAAATCGGCATCGATTCGACACGATCCACCGCGTGGCTGCTGGGCCCGCCGCTGGCCGGCATTCAGTGCGTGCGGCGCCGCCCTCGCCGCCGTCTAGCGCCGCTGTCGCGCCCACAGTGGCACGGTCTGCACTGAGCGCCGGTACTGTCTGGCCGGCCCGCTCCCCTAGAAATTACTAACGGGGTAAATACGGGGGACGAGCCGGCTGGCTGCGTGTCTAGACGGCGGGGCGCACTGAGCGCGGCGGGTGCGTAGCGGTCATGGGCCCCGCGCGACAGGCGGTCGCCGCGGACCAGGACATGTGCGTGGCCGGTGGGCGTGTTGTCTGCGTGAGACCTCCAGACGTGCGGGGCGTGGCCCGGGGTGGCAGTGAACACGGCGGCACGCTCAAGTAGATGTGACATCGGTCGAAGCGACGCTCCTGGGCCAATCAAAAGGCGACGAATCAAACGGACCGGTGGTCTTCCGCACAGCTGTGAGGAGGAGGCCTGCCTGTATTTACGGCGACTGTGAGGAGTGTGGCGAGTGCTCGGCTACGAGGACGGCGAGGACACTGAGGGGACCGGCAGCTGGAGGACGTCGTGAGGTCAGCAGACCGTGAGGCCGCCGAACAGATAGCAGGCCGGAGCCCGTCCGTCTGTGTTCTCCCCTGCCCGTGTGTGGGGCTGCTCAGGCGATTGTCGGGCCGACGCCGGGCCGACGCCCGGGCCGTGTCGGACCCGTGTTGAGCCGTGCCGGGCGCGGGTCGGCGCGATGCTGGGCACGTCCGGCGGGCCGCTGCCGGAGCGGGAGCGGGCGGCGCGCCGCCGGCCGGCCGCCGAGCCGCTCCGGCTGCTCGTGCCACGCACGCTCACCGAGGACATGCTGGTCGGCCTGGACCGGCTGGGCACGGTGACGATTGTGGTGAACCAGCGACCGCGGGCGGCTGGCGGCCAGCTGCAGGCGCCTGGCGTCAGCTCGAGCGCGCTGTGCGAGACGGCGCGCGCCGTCATCTCTTCCGGCGACGGCGAGCTCGCCAGAACGGTCAGCTCCAGCGGCCGCGGCGACGGCGAGGCGGACCACACCGGAGCGGACGGCGAGACGCCGCAGACCGTGAGCTCCAGCGGACGCGGCGACGGCGAGCCGGCGCGCGCGGTGAGCTCCAGCGGACGCGAGCGGGCGGCGCCGGGTCGGATCATGTCGCCCCGATCGAGGCCGGCTCGCGCCGCAAAGGTGACGCGTGTGGAACGTGCGGCGGGTCCTGCCGTTCAGTCGCCGCATCTCCGGAGCGCCGCTGCCGACCCGTTGGCGTGGTCTGCCGAGCGGGCCGGCTCGGCGCGGCTGGCACCGCGGGACGATGAGGCGGAGGACAGGTCGGCCCCGGTGGCTCCAGGCGGCGCGCCGGCCGGCCAGCGGGCGCGCCAGGCGGCGATGACGCGGCGCCAGGGGCAGCGGGAGGTGGCTGCCGGTGCTGGGCGGGTCCTGCTGCTGGTGACCCCCACCAGCGGCGGCCGATCCCCGGCCGGCGGTCGCCGAGGTCTGGCCAGTCCGGAGGCGCCTACCGTCGACCCGGTCTTTGCCGAAGCCGGCAGCGGCGCCCACCAGGCGAACGGCAGCAGCACGATCAGCACTGCGCCCTGGACCAGGGATTCCCTGCGGCTGCTCGAGCTCCAACAGTCGAGATCGGAACGAGGGAGGAACAGTGCTGGTCAGCGCAGGCGTACCCTCTCCGAGTCTCTTCGCGGGGGGATCGCCAAAATCGAATCCTTCGAAGGCGAGCTGGATGACGCGAGCGCTGCAGGCGCCGGGGTGAACAAGCACGACGCCGTGCCCGTCATTAAGAAGGAGCTAGTCTCGCCGAGGGGTGAGGTGGAGCTTTGTGCGAAGGGCGACTCTGCGTGTGGCGGGAGCACGCCGGCCGCAGCGGCCGACAGCTGGAGGGCGGTCGGCTCGGGCGGCCGCTGCCTGAGCAGCCCGAGCCGGTCGTGCGCGGACGCCTCCGGCCCCCAGAGCAGTCCGCGAGCGGCGGCGCTGCAGCAGCCCTTGGCGGGCAGCCCTGAGGACGGGTGGTTCACCGCGGGGGCGGCGGCGGCGGCGGCAGCAGAGCAGGAGCACGACGGCCGACTGGACGGCGGGTCGCCCGCCGCCGCCGGTGCGGGGGCGCTGAGGCCCCAGGAGGAGACGGAGGCCGAGTCGACGGCCGACCTTCTCGGCTTGGAACGGCCCGGTGTCGTGTCCCTGCTTCTGGGCCAGCCGCCGGAGGAGATGGTCAACTTGGTGTTCCGCGGCGACGACATCGACGACCTGGAGCTGGACTCGTCGGACGCGATGATGCCAGGTGATGACGATGACGCCAGGTGACGTTTTAGATCAGAGACGAGCGGCCCCTGCTCGGCGGCCAGCCAGAACCGCGCTCCGGCGCGGGAAACGCAAACCCGCGTGACTGCGTTGCCCATGTGCAACATCGGTGGTCCGATGAGGTCTTCCTGGAATCACGCCAGGCTCCGGGACGTCAAATGTAGCTCATCCGCGTGGTTCTTTATTTCTTTTTCGTTCGTTATTTTGTTCAACTGAATCATATGCATTGCGCGAATTAGGTGTACAGCATCACACACGGTCATGCGCCAAACACACCCGGATCCGAGCGTGCTGTCGCAAACAAATCGCCGCGGCTGCTGCTGGTGATTGTACACGCTGTCGTGCTGGCGGTCAGCCGCTACCGGGAACGGACGACGCGATGTAGACTGGCTGTTTCCCGGTTCGGTCGGCTGAAAAGCAATCTCTTGGCCTCAGCATTTTTAGGTGCACGTACTCCGGCGGCGGGCAGGTGAACCCTGCCGACGGTTTTTTGTTTTGGCGCGCTTTTTTCGATGCTCCCGCCAGACGGCGCGTGGTTTTTTGCGTCGGACTTTTTCATCGTCTGGCTCGCCGTCCCCTCGCCAAGTTCAGACGTATTAGCGGCCTGCAGATGCGACAGACAGGGGAGGGACCGGACGGAGGGGGGAGGGGGCGGGGGTCTGTCTGGGCGCACCGCTTTCAGGCGAGGATGCATGGGGATGGCGGGTGTCAGGAGTCAATGCAACGGACTTGGACATATAGGACGGCGGATATGGGAGACGACGGGCATAGCGTTGGTGTATTCATACTCGGATAGGTTAGTTATCAAAGTATGGGAGTGCTGCATGCTATGGACACAATGCTCTCAGTAGCAGCCTTGTGGAAACATAATCTTGAAAAACTGTGTTCGAAACGGAGAATGCTTAGACGATTTATTCTCGTATTCTCGATTAGACTCGTAGAAACGCCTTTCCGTCACTTCTATTTTTAATTTAGCTTTGTTAGTTATTTACTGAAAAAGTGCCGAGATTACGAGACGGCGCTTAACAGAACGTATGTTATTAACACTCACCCGGCCGCCATTGGCTGGAAATGTGGAACAGTTGTGCCCCAGCCAATTTGTGGAATGACTTTGCTGCCGGCTATGAGTCCAACGTGACGCCTCGGGCGTCCATGGCAAAAGGTATGCGCCTCGCGGTCTGCCTCGCAAGGGGATGCTGCAATGTACGCTCCGTTAAGGTTTTGGTGCGTGGTTGTTAGTACGATTAGTGCTTGGTGTTATTTGTTATTCATATGTCCATTAAGGACTCGTGCGTCAATATGGCTTATGTTATAGTGTCCTATAAAACTCGCGATTTGTAAGGGAACTGTGGCGTTGTGGGCGGAGATAAAATTCCAGTGTTGATGCGCCGCTTCGTCCGCATAGTCCCTGCCAATGACAGAGCGCACGGCAACTGCATTAACCAGAATAGGTTTAATCTGCCGAACAGGGGCGCAGCCAGCGTGTTCTCAAGGGCGTCGTCTGGCGGAGCTCGGTTAGTACACATCACGCCCATTTAACTTTCTTTCGGGAAACTTCCTTTCTATGGTGAAAAACAAAACCAAATCCGGGTCTAGAGGGTGAGGGGGGTGGAGGGGGGGGGGGGGGGGGGCGCTCCTTCCTCCGTTGGCTGCGGCGCTGCTGTACACGAGTAACGACGGTAGTCCGACGCCTGTCCGAGAGGGCGGGGGGAGGGGGCTCCTTCCTCCGTTGGCTGCGGCGCTGCTGTACACGAGTAACGACGGTAGTCCGACGCCTGTCCGAGAGGTGGCGTGGCGAGATGGCACGGCTCCCGCCGGTAACGGGAGCAGAGCGGGATACTGAGACTTGGCGTTTTATGTCTAGAAACGTCACTTGGTAAAATTTTTGAGGAGACTGGCGTGGCGAGCCCATTGCCTTGCCTAACCCAAAACTCGATCTCTCCCCGGACTTGGGTCACTTTATCGTCGTTGCTGGAGTCGCCGTCCCCCCGCTGTGTCGTGTGTGCACATGCACCAGGCGAGGCTGGTGTACCTGAATCACTCACTCGCCATCACTGTGACAACATCCGGACCCATTTCCCTGCTCTCATGCCTTGGCTTGTTTACAGGTGAAGGATCGAGGCACATATCGACGTCATCTGTGGCTTCCATTGAAGGTGAGCCACTGGGCATGCTGCGGGCTGTGCGGCACGTGTCTGCGCAAAACATGGCTGCGCGCGTGGTCGTTTTGCAGGCCCCCATGCCGTCGGACTCAGGAATGGCGGCCGCTGTTGATTGTCGATGGTCCGCCTGCGCAGACGACGCTCACGTATCGCACCACTCGACGACATGGCGACGCGTTCAGGCCGGTGGCTGGGAGATAATGGCTCTACACTGTTTTCCGAGCGACTTTTTTGTTTTGTTTTGAGCTTTACGCACTTCTAAGCTGCCACTACCTATATCAGCTTGATTCGAAAAACACTGAGACAGTTGAAAGACCAGTTTTGAGTTGAATGCTTGGAAAGTTGTGTTGCAGTCGCATTAAAGGCATAGTCTTTTGGTTGATTCCGTTACCTGTTTGAGAGAACTTGGCTGTTCTCTAGGCTTGAACAATTATGCTCATTTGAGCATGGACAGGGGTCTTTTGAGGAGCAAATGTGCGGTAGTGATATTCCTTTTGCCCCAGTCTTTTGTCCATAGCCCAGCAGCCTAAAACATGACGGTTAAGTGACAATTCCAGTTGTTGAGTGTTTCCTGGGCCTAAACAGGAACTGTCTGGAATCAGAGTTGTCTGTTCCAAGGGAAAATGAAAATAGAAGACTTGCCTAACCGGCCCACTGCCACTGCAAACCAAGCTGCGCGCCAGGCGCGGTCGGTGCCTATGGGGGGAAGAAGGTCGCGGGTGATATTTGTTGTTGCCCGGTCTACTCTTGTGTGAAAATTACTTTCGTAGGAGGATATTCGATAAAACTGCGCGTTTCCCTGGCCAATCGCTACACGTTGCCACACTGGTTTGGAGATTACGGCTCTGAAGACTTGCCTGCCCATTGAAGCGCAGATGCGTGACGCAGCGGTCGTTATAGGCTACCGCCGCGCGTGTCTTTATTGTTACAAAAGGCAAAGCTTATATCAGAAAGCGCTGACTGTTGAGGGCGAAAATGCTTCATCAAGAGGCTCACAACGTTCAGTCGTACAGCCAATCTCCTTGTGTGACCAAGGCGGCTGTGAGCTAGTGCCATCTAGCGGATTTCGCAAAAGCGTTGGCCTGCGAGCTCCGCAGCTGTGCTGAGCATGGGCACCGTTGGACTCGGTCGGCCTGCACCTGTGAGCCGTCCACACAGCTGGGCCCGGTGACCTTATCAAGGAGGTTTAGAGAATCCCGGGGCTTCCTTTTTGCCCCGACATATTTTGATGCTTCAGAGCGTTGGACGATGCTCGTTGCGCTCACGTTCACTGAGGCGGATGGTTCGTCTTCTCAGTTAGGTGTTTAGCATTCCCACGTACCCAACATAATTGCGGGACCGTCCTGCGCCTTTTCAGTTCCATCTCGCCTATTCCGGCGGTCATGCTTGAAACAAATTGGTGTTCATTTGACTCGGGAGCATGTTTCCAAGTACTGTAATTTACCAAAATATGAAAATGACAGAATTGGGCCATGTCCATGAAGCTAATGGAAACGTAATGGTTTCCACTGATGTAACTATCCCCCAATATGGCAAGCGGCGGATGGGCAATGTGAGGTTGATGGCCACAGTGTTGGTTTACTTCGAGAAGGAATTAACGAATATATTGTCAATTAGTGGCACCTCTCTAGCAAAGACCTCATCCATCATGCCTCCGGACTTCCGGCTGGCGCCTGCTCGTTGCTTTCTCTTCAAATTGTTCCTGCTGCCCCGTTTGGTACGCGGTATATGCATAACCACGATGTTATTAGTGTCTTCGTTTAGAAAGCAAAGGCCTGGCGATTGCAACGCCAATTACGAATACGGGATATGGAGTATTTTGAACGCCAAGGGAGACGGTAGGTGAACTCGAAATGCGGAAATGTATTGGCAACACTGATGTGGTATTATTCAGCACCCGTTCAGGTGGATGGGGGGGGGGGAATTTGACTTCCCCCCAAAGGTTTTCCGCAACGCAATTTCAAACGGTGCGGCGTAGTTGCACCAAATCTTGCTTAGCTATAGGCAATTGAATAACGGATCGTTTGGTGTCAAATATGTAGGTTGTACGTGGTGAAGTTACCTACGGCAAGTCAAAGTCAGGCCGTGGATTCGGCGAAGCAAATTTTTAGTAAATTGTTCAATCTGATGCAACAACGGGATTTTAGACGAAGCCATACAATTCTGAGATACTTACTTAGGCAACAAAACGTTGAATAAACAAATTGCGTTAACCCAGGCAGGGTTAGGTTTGAAAATCAAATCAAGGTCAAAACCAACCTGTTTTATTACTCCTGAAATTGCTGTATGGGGTAGGTTCTGCTGCTCATTTCGAATTTGTTAATAACAGGAACTGCATTATACATCTTCCATGGACTTCTTTAAGGTCAGAATAGATCACTGACTTAGCAAAGGTCACTGACCTGATCTACAACATACTGCCTAGCGTCATCTTTGACGTTTACTCAAATGCAAAACTCAAAGCAATCTTGTATGATTTTGGTCATGTTAACCTTGGAAAGGTCAAACAAGGTCACTGACCTAGATGCGCATCAGCAGCCTTTTGCTTAAAACAGGCATTTAGGTTCTGGGTGCACTTCGGACACCGGGCTGGAGTTTAACTTTGCTTGACTTTATTTGACCCAAGGTCATGACCAAAGACCTCATACTTTGACGCAAGTGAATTCACGGACAGGCCAGCGCACCCTCTGAATTTTGTGTGCCTAACTCTCCTAGTTTCTGAGATCTCAGGGGGTCAAATTGACCCCCACCCGAGCGAAGGGTATCAAACCGGCCACTCAGGCGCGTGATAAGGCGCTTCGAGCTCAATTCGTACGGACAAATGGGGTAGATGGCGGCGGATAGGGCTGGTGATCGCGCTGCATCAGCGTTAAGCCCGCGTGGCGCGTGGGGCGGCAGTCTACGGAGAGAGCCGGGGTCCGGCGTGGCTGGCTGATAATCACATCAGTCCATACGGTGATCGTGAATCTAGCTCCGACCTTCGATGACCTTCCGACCTTCGACCTAGCTGTATATTTGATTGCCGTGTCTATTGATATTGGCACTGTCAAGCTGTAGGGATGTCTTACTGGATCCTGCCCCACCTCCCCATCGGTCCGTTGATCCGGCTTCCCGTCCGTCCGCGTGCCGCTTCCTCCGTTTGCTGGGGCGACCCTGCGCATGCGCGTTGGCGGTGTTTACCTGCGTCTCTGCACCTGTTGCTATATCGGCGGTCCCTCCCATGGCCCAGCAAGCCCAACCCTCCAAGCGCCAACGATGTGAAGGGCTTTGACCCACCTTGAGGATTCCGGAGGTGGTGTGTAGGAGCAGCTTGGCGAGACAGACGTGTGGACATGGGGGCTGGGTACCTACTCTGGGGGATGCGGCGGGTACTGCTGGACGGCGAGGAACGGGGACATAACCACAGGCTAGGGAGAGTTTGGGAACGTCGACGTCGGCGTCGCAAGGACTGGGGGCCTCAGCATCGGCCGAGTAGGGAGTGGGGGACCTCAGAATCGCAAGATCAGGGTGAATATTACGGCCGGATGAACAGGAACCAGGGACATACATCGGCTGGCTCGGACAGCAGTCTCCAGCCCTTGGGATGGACCTTATAACAGGAGGAACCTCGCGGACCGCTTGGACCGGGACTTCCGACGCGTCATCACTGGGCCACGGCGTCAGCCGAGTGTCGGCCGGTACCTGGACGTCGCTGCCGGCACCGGCCGCGCCGCCGCTCCGCCGTCGCGCGACTCCCCGGCCCGCCGTGCCGCAGTGACCGGCGGTGCGGGCGGCGCGGCCGCCGGATGTACGCTCCAGGTGCGTGTTTGGCGGCGGCCGGCGCGTGCTCGCACGGTGCGCGCCGCGGCGGGCCTTGAAATAGCTGGCCTGCCGGCGCCGGTGATGGATGAGTCCGGCCGGCCGCTCCAATGGCCGCCCGGTACTGTCATGGGCCGGCGTATTTCCCGGCCTCAGGCGGGCGCCGACGGCTCAAAGGGATCGAGCGCGACCCGCCGGCGCGGCGTTGTTTTTTTGTTTGCCGAAGACACCAGATGTTGTGAGGAATGCAGCCCTACCTGCTCCGAATGGCAATCAGCTCTATGGACGAGGATGACTTTGAAGTATTTCGGTTGTTCAGTCAAGGCTACCTTATCGGGCTCGCTTGGATTCGGCGGCGGTTTTTTGGTCGGCACTCTCACGGTTCGCCGAGCAGCGGCGGGCCGATGGTGCGTGACCGAGGCCTCCCGAGGCCGACTGGGCCTCCCTGCACAGGCGCTGAAGGCGCTTTAGCTCCTCTCGTTGGGCGTCGGATGTTAACGCTGGCAGCCGCGTGACAATCCGACGTTTTGGTGCGACGTTTAGCTCGGGCGGAGAACCTATGGCAGCTCTCATGATTGGCGTTTGTGTCGGTGACGCCGCGCATTTGAAAAATTGTTTGCTTTATATAGAATAGCGTATTTATATGCATATTCACCATAATCGAAAAGGTTTGTATAGATTTTGTGTCCTTGGCCGCCCCAGAGGGGGACTGAAATGCGAGGTTTCTTCATTGACAACGTAACGTACCGTGTGGGACGCTGATGCGCCAAAGTGCACTGACCCGCGGAGGCTCAGCGAGCTCATCCCGATCAACAGATGACCGATCTTGAGAAAACAATGCTGCGTCGCACTGCGCGCAATGTTTCCCTTGTGCATCCAGATCACTTTTGCCATAGCTTTTTACGAAACAACGACGCAAAAATGCGATGTCCAAAAAAATGTCTGGGAGGTCCTCGCTCCCAGTGAACTGCACAGAGAACTGAAGCAAGTGTAAGCGGATACACACTGAGCTACGGGCGGACGGGTTTGATCCTCTCTAGCCTGAAACTGACGGCGGTGATTGGCCATCTGACCGCGGGAGCTCATCTGAGAACTGAGCGAGTTATGCAAACTAACAGCCAGTAGACGGCTGTCGCGACTCTGAACAAGATTTACGCACTGCATCTTTGCGTGCGAGGCCAGCGTCATACTAGATA